ATAACCAGGGTCTGCTTCTCAGTGGGTGTGTCACTGAGCGAGGAAAATCGATTAGAAACATGAACGGGTCGGTGGTGAACTGGGGGCTTAGTCTTAGCACTACGCTTGCTCCGGACCGTCGCCCAGCCGGCCTGGGGTCCCGGCTGCTCGGGGTCTGCTGGAGGACTGCTAATGGGAGCTAGCCTCTGTGGTTCCGCGCTGTCTAAGGGGACATGGCTAGCTACTAGTTTTTCTATAGCGCAGGGGATTTCAATACGGCTAATCTGAAGACTGTACTCCCAAAATTCTACCAGCATGTCAAGTGTTCTACTAGAGGGGAGAACACTCTGGACCAGGTTTACTCGAACATTAAACATGCATACAGAGCCATACCCCTCCCCCACCTCGGGCAGTCAGACCATCTTTCCCTCCTGCTCCCCCCAGCTTACACCCCCCTCAGACGCAGAGCGAGGCCTACAACAAAAACTGTTACAATCTGGCCTGGTCATGCACTCGATGAACTACAGGGCTGTTTTGAACAAACTAACTGGGACTTATTTGAACATCAGGAGATGGAAACATACACAGGAACGATACTGGACTACATCAAGTTCTGTATCGGAAATGTGACTATGGTCAAAAACATTCGGGTTTACCCCAACCAGAAACACTGGATGACCAGCCAGGTCCACACACTCCTCAGAGCCCGGGATGCTGCCTTCAGGTCAGGTGACAGAGCTCTGCACCGAGCTGCTCGAGCCAACCTGAATAAGGGAATAAAAACCACAAAGGCTGACCATAAAAGGAGTATAGAGTCCCATCTGTCCAGTAACAACTCACAGGAGGTGTGGAAGGGCATAAAAAACATCACAAACTATAGAGGCTGCGAGGTGACAACAGGAGACCTGAGTGCATCACTAGCAGAGGAGCTAAACTGCTTCTTTGCATGCTTTGATGCACCACAGCAGCACTCAGCTGATCCTGCCCTGCTCCCACACCCACCCAGTTACTGCACCACTCCACTCACTGTACGGCAGCATGATGTTAGACATTCGCTCCAATCAGTGAATCCCAGGAAAGCTACTGGCCCAGATGGAATACCTGGCAGGGTGCTCAAAGCATGTGCCCTCCAGCTCGACCCCACCTTCACCAGAATTTTCAATCTCTCCCTGGCTCAGGCAGTCATCCCTTCCTGCTTAAAATCTGCAACTATCATCCCAGTGCCGAAAACACCAGCCTGAATGATTACCGACCGGTGGCTCTCACTCCGGTAATCATGAAGTGCTTCAAGAGACTGGTTCTCCAGTACATCAAGAACTATCTCCCTCCGAACTTTGACCCCTACCAGTTTGCATATCACACCAACAGGTCCACAGAGGATGTTATTGCAGTAGCTCTCCACACCGCGTTGAGCCACCTGGAACAACAGCACAGCTACGTTCGAATGCTCTTTGTGGATTACAGCTCGGCCTTTAATACAATCATTCCAGACATTCTTATAAATATATTGGACAATCTCGGCCTCCCCGCCACCCCCATGTGCCATTCTGGCTATAGTAAACAGTTTATCCACTGGCGTGGTGCCAAAAACCTTTAAACATGCTGCTGTCCAACCTCTCCTGAAAAAAAACAAACCTTGACCCCTCAGTCGTATCCAACTTCCGGCCTGTCTCCAAACTCCCATTCTAAACTACTGGAGAAAATAGCCGAGTCCCAGTTGAAGTGCTTCCTGGAAGGTTACACCATCTTAGAGCTATTCCAATCTGGCTTTAAACCTCTCCACAGCACTGAAACTGCCCTGCTGAAGGTCTTTAATGACATTTTCTTAACCACTGATACCAGTGATTCTGTGCTGCTTGTCCTATTGGACCTCACAGCCGCCTTCGACACCATCAACCATGAGATCCTCATTGCTAGGTTGGAGCAGTGGGTGGGAGTCACAGGGTCAGCCCTCAATTGGTTCAGATCTTACTTCACTGACAGATACTTTTGTGTCTCCATCAAGGATTTTAGTTCTGCAGCGACAGAGCTTAAATGGGGGGTTCCCAGGGGTCCATCCTGGGTCCCCTCCTATTCTCTTTATACCTGCTGCCGCTTGGTGCTATTTTCCGGAAACACAACATGCCCTTTCATTTCTACGCTGATGACTGTCAAATTTACTTCCCTTTAAGACACAATGGCACATGCTCTATTCAACCTCTGCTTGACTGCCTGGCTGACATCAGGGACTGGATGGCTTTAAACTTCTTGAGTTTCAACGAAAAGAAGTCTGAAGTCATGTTGGCTTGATTATTGCAATTCGCTCCTGTTTGGTATCAGTCAGACCTCCACTGCACGACTACAACTGGTCCAGAATGCAGCAGCCCGATTTTTAACCAGTACAGGCAAAAGAGGGCACATTACACCAGTTTTGGCCTCACTGCACTGGTTACCAGTTCACTTTCGAATCCAGTTCAAAATACTCATGTATGTCTACAAATCACTGAACAGTTTCGCCCCCCAATCTCTTTGATCTGCTACAACCGTATGTCCCACCACGTTCCCAGAGGTCAGCGGACCAGTTGCTCCTCACAGTTCCAGGAACTCGTCTTAAGTGCAGAGGTGACAGGGCCTTCTCTGTAGCAGGACCAAGACTTTGGAACGAGTTACCTCTGCTTGTCAGACAGGCCCCCTCCCTCTCGGTTTTCAAGTCCCGTTTAAAAACTCACTACTATTCAGTATCTTTCAACACCAGATGATCTGTGTTTTGATCCTGTATGCTCCACACTGGTTTGTCGTCATTATCTGCATCGTTTTTATGTCTATATTCTGATTTACTTCATTTTGTATTTTGCTTCGTGTGTTACCTGTTGTTCTGTCTGTTGTTCTTTCTGTACAGCACTTTGGTTGGCCTTATAGCTGTTTTAAGTGCTCTATAAATAAAATGGTATGGTATGGATAAAAGACTTCCTAACCAATCGGCTCCATTCTGTAAGACTTGGTCCCCACCTCTCCTCCACTCGTACGCTGAGCACTGGCTCCCCACAGGGCTGTGTGCTGAGCCCCCTGCTGTACTGTCTCTACACCCATGACTGCAGCCCGGCCCACAACAACAACCTCATCGTCAAATTCGTTGATGACACCACAGTGGTCGGACTAATCTCTAAGGGAGATGAGACATTTTACAGACAGGAGGTCCTGGAGCTAGCAACCTGGTGCTCAGAGAAAAATCTGGCTCTGAATATAAAAAAAAACAAGGAGGTAATTATTGATTTCAGTAAGCACAGCACCAACCTAGCCCCCCTTTACATCAACGGCGAGTGCGTGGAGAGGGTTCACACTTTCAGATTTCTTGGTGTCCATATCTCTGCTGACCTTAACTGGAAAGAGAACACCACAGCGGTCATCAAGAAGGCTCAGCAGAGACTACACTTCTTAAGAGTCCTTAAGAAGCACAACCTGAACACCAACTTGCTGTTGACCTTCTACCTCTCGTCCATGGAGAGCCTGCTGACAGACTGTATCTCAGTATGGTACGGCAGCTGCACCCTGGCTGACAGGGAGAGGCTTCAGAGAGTAGTCAAGACAGCACAAAAGATAACTGGCTGCCCGCTCCCCTCCCTGATGGACATTTACACATCACGCTGCCTCAACAGAGCAGAAAGCATAATCATGGACTGTTCACACCCGGGTGTTGAACTGTTTGACTTGTTACCTTCAGGGAAACGCTACAGGTGCATCAGAACAAGAACAAACAGATTCAAGAACAGTTTTTTCCTGAAAGCCATCAGCACACTGAACTCACACATGCACTGATTTAATAATATAACCTCCCAAACCCCTGGACTTCTATTGTGCAACACTACTGACATTTCATACTCTCAGTCACCTTAACTACCTCACTAATATACATGATGTGCAATATAATTGTGAAATACTTGTATTTTTTACTTTCATAGTGCTATTATATCTATCTTGTGTTACATGTTTATATTTTTAGTGTGTGTTTTTCTTAAACATGTTTTTTGCACTGAAAAAAGGAGTGGCTCTTAATTTCATTGTACTTGCATATAATGACAATAAAAGCATTCTGGTTCTGATTCTGACCACTAAAGGAGGCAGAGGAGTAACTAAACATCTGACACATGGACCAAATGAGAACAGAGGAAGCAGGGAGAGAAGCAGCAGCCATGCTAAGCTAACGCTAGCAAGAGCTAACAGAGCCAAATACACCAATAAAAACCGAGAAGTGTTGAAGATAAAAAGGTGTTAAGCACTGTCCAACAGTAGAAAAACAACTGAACTAAGTGTGTTTGTGAACTAGAATGAAAAACTGTGCAAAAGATAAATCCAGAAAACAGAGACGACTCGAGCAAACAATTCACTCGAGCTACCAACAGACAAACAGGAAGTGGCAATACGTCTCACCACGAACGTGCAACATCACCAGCTCCAACACAACCTGAGCTCAGACGTGGCAACGCACTGTTCAGTAGTAACCTCTCAAGGTCAAGGTTCTTTACTGTCATTTGCACCACGAGGTGGAACAAAACTGTGCACACAGGGTCCCAGTTACAACCAACAAAAGTAAAAATGTAAATTGTAAAAGAAACAGTAATAAGGATTTAAGATATAAACTAAGAAATACGCTAAACACTAATAGTGCAAAACAATATGCTGAGCAACACCTGCATGTAGCTACACACCAAAATGGAAGTTGGTAGCTCACTTATTATTTAAGTCATCATGCTCACAACATGCACGGACAAATGGTGGGCATTGCCAATTTCCCCTTTTCGCTCCGCGACAGAACAAAAACATCTTGCACAGATGAACGTGGAACAACAAATTCTGACGTTACAGTATAACTACAGAGGATTTAACCTTCAAATGCTCATTTTATCCTAAGAGTTGGACACAAATATTTTCCAAGAAAATTGTGTCAGCGGACTGAAATTTGTGTGAGGAAGTTTGATAAACCAATCGAGCATGTTTCTAATCTTTCAAAGAGCCATGAAGTAATGATTATAAGCACGTCCTACCTTTGCGTTTTATTGGGCCCAGGATGCTGGCTCTGATGCAGTTGATTGGACTCTGACTCCGTCGGCTGAAGAATGAAACAGAAAGCCCAGCGTCAGGTTATTATAGAAAACATCAGCTCAAGCAGAAACAATCCATGTGAATATATAAAATTAATCAAAGAGCAGTGTTGGTCAGAGAAAGTCCTTTTAAAAACGTGCACCAACCTAAAGCGGCGTGTTGGGCTGGGTATGGGGCTGGGCGTGAGACCATTACTGCTGACAAGTATTTGGAGTGAAGGAGAGAAACACTGCTGCTCAAGAGAGAGGAACACAAACAAACACCACGTTGAGCTCAGCCATTCACTTGTTTTTACGCTTTGACTGGAATCACATCAGGAAAAGAATCGGTGGAGATTTTACTGACGGCTCAAACACTGAACTCCAGAGTTCAGACGGACTCCAGGAGAGCCTAATCTGGACTTTGAAAAACTGACTACATTCAACATAACCCACAAGCCTCAGCTGCTAATCCCATTTCATAGCACAGAACCAATCAATACAAACCGTTCCTTTATGCTTTAATCTCAACTGATCATACATGTGTAACCAGCATGTGCTGAGATGATGCAACAGCTTACAAAATTAAAAACTACAAAATTTGAGGAAATTTTGAAAGTTGTCAAATGCAACTACGTAATGTAAAAAAATAAATATCTGTATACAACATGTAAAATAAGTCGGTCAAAAGAAATGTTAAAGCTGCTGCAGTGGCTGAATATGGTCACCATAGTAACCACGCACCTGTGTCTCACTCCCTGACAGCCAAGTTAACAAGACACAGACAGAAACGTGCAGTAAAACAAAAAACGTCAAGCAAACGGTGGCTGAGTGAAAACTGCAGATGAGCAGAGGGCTCCGATCATCGCACCTGCTCCTGCAGGGTTCAGTGTGCGAAATATGACAAGTTCAAAACACACTTCGTAAAAATAAATAAAAATAGGATTGATGTTTTGTCATTTTATTTTTCTTCTTTCGGCTGCTCCCTTGTTCAGGGGAGGCCACAGCAAAGTAACTCGCATGAAGACTTGGTGATTGTTTGTACACCGAATGTCCTTCCTGACAGACACAGAGCTGCCAGCGAGGGCGCCCGGAGCAGAGGGTGGGGGTTAAGGGCCTTGCTCAAGGGCGCAGAGTGGGGCAAACTTCTACTGCGATCATCTTAAAACCAGAAAAACCATCAAGATGCCACTTCAGACAGTCAAGTCCAATTTTCTTGGACCCGTTTAAATTTGAAGCAAAGAAGCTCGTGTGTTTCTTCAAACTGATTTCAATTCTTTCAGTTGTTAATGCAGACTGTCTACGTTGTGCAACGTAGTGCCACTAAACGTCCCGGCGCACCACCCTGGACGTTTTAGTGATGGTTTTAATCACGTGCGTTTTTAAAGCCGTGCAGGACGGACACTGCGTCGGCATTAGTGATGGGTCTGACGACACTGAAACCTCGGTGCATGCGCCGAGCAAACAAGGCGAAGCCCCGTGTCGATGCGCGCATCTCTTTAAGGAAAACCACGTGACCGATACAGCTTCTGTATCGTTTGGTTGTGAACGCACCAAATTGTATTCACAGCTGCAGAAAGAAAAGCTTTGCAGAAAGTGGTGAAGGCTGCACAGAAGATGTTGGGAGTCAGCCTCCCCACCATCACAGACATCTACACCTCCAGATGCAGGAAGAGTTTTTATTCACAATTTGTTTAGTGTCCCAACTTTTTTGGAATCCGGTTTGTACAAACTTGCAATGAAATTTCTATGTACGCTGTCATCATCAGTGAAAGGGTGCTCTCAGAATCAGGAGAAATGGTTTGTAAACGACGCAATCACCTCGGCCCAAAGATGTTACAGCAGCTGAGGTTTGTAAATAAAACCGTGTGAATGAACCTAGTTCAGTCTGTTTCCTGTCTTTATGGAAACTGCCTGCAATGACTTTTTAAATCCAAGACAAATTCATGTCTTGGACACTCGGGTGAAGAGAGGGGCGGAGCTGTCCACTGATCACTACCTGGTGGTGAGTTGGCTCCGATGGTGGGGGAGGATGCCGGTCAGACCTGGCAGACCCAAACGTATTGTGAGGATTTGCTGGGAACATCTGGCAGAGTCTCCTGTGAGACGGAGTTTTAACTCCCACCTTCGGGAGAACTTCGAACATGTTCCGAGGGAGGTGGGGGACATTGAGTCCGAGTGGACCATGTTTCGTGCCTCTATTGTCGAGGCGGCTTACCAGAGCTGCGGCCGCAAGGTTGTTGGTGCCTGTTGCGGCGGCAACCCTCGAACCTGATGGTGGACACCAGCGGTGAGGGATGCTGTCAGGCTGAAGAAGGAGTCCTAACGGACCTTTTTGGCCTGTGGGACCCCGGAAAAAGCTGATGGGTACTGGCAGTCCAAGCGACATGCGGCTCGGGTGGTCGCTGAGGCAAAAACTCGGGCATGGGAGGAGTTTGGAGAGGCCATGGAGAATGACTTCCGCACGGCTTCGAGGCGATTCTGGTCCACCATCCGGCGTCTCAGGGGGGGAAAGCGGTACGCCACCAACACTGTTTATAGTGGGAGTGGTGTGCTGCTGACCTCAACTCGGGATGTCGTGGGTCGGTGGGCGGAATACTTTGAAGACCTCCTCAATCCTACCAGCACGTCTTCCACTGAGGAAGCGGAGCCTGGAGACTCTGGGTCAGGCTCTCCAATCTCTGATGCTGAGGTCACCGAGGTGGTTAAAAAGCTCCTCGGTGGCAGGGCCCCAGGGGTGGATGAGATCCGCCCAGGGTTCCTTAAGGCTCTGGATGTTGTAGGGTTGTGTTGGCTTACGCGACTCTGCAATATTGCGTGGACATCGGGGGAAGTTCCCCTGGATTGGCAGACCGGGGTGGTGGTCCCCCTATTCAAAAAGGGGGTACCATAGAGTGTGTTCCAACTACAGGGGAATCATGCTCTTAAGCCTCCCTAGTAAGGTCTACTCGGGGGTTCTGGAGGAGAGGGTCCGTCGGATAGTCGAACCTCGGATTCAGGAGGAGCAGTGCGGTTTTCGTCCTGGCCGTGGAACACTGGACCAGCTCTACACTCTCAGCAGGGTCCTGGAGGGGCGTGGGAGTTTGCCCAACCGGTCTACATGTGCTTTGTGGACTTGGAGAAGGCGTTCGACCGCGTCCCTCTGGGAACCCTGTGGGGGATACTCTGGGAGTATGGGGTACCAGGTCCTTTGATAAGGGCTGTTATGTCCCTGTATGACCGGTGTCAGAGCCTGGTCCGCATCGCCGGCAGTAAGTCGGGCTTGTTCCCGGTGAGAGTTGGACTCCGCCAAGGTTGCCCTTTGTCACCGATTCTGTTCATAACTTTTATGGACAGAATTTCTAGGCGCAGCCAAGGTGCTGAGGGGATCTGTTTTGGTGGCCTTAGGATTGCGTCTCTGCTTTTTGCAGATGATGTGGTCTTATCATCAGATCATGATCTACAGCTTTCGCTGGAGCGGTTCGCAGCCCAATGCGACGCGGCCGGGATGAAGATCAGTTCCTCCAAATCCGAGGCCATGGTCTTGAGCCAGAAAAGGGTAGAGTGCTCTCTCCGGGTCAGGGAGGAGGTCCTGCCCCAAGTGGAGGAGTTTAAGTATCTTGGGTCTTGTTCACGAATGAGGGAAAAATGGGAGCGTGAGATCGATAGGCAGATAGGTGCAGCATCAGCAGTGAAGCAGGCGCTGTACAGGTCTGTCGTGGTGAAGAGAGAGCCGAGTCAAAAGGCGAAGCTCTCAATTTACTGATCGATCTACGTTCCTACCCTCATCTATGGTCACGAGCTTTGGGTTGTGACAGAAAGAATGAGATCTCGGATACAAGCGGCCGAAATTAGTTTTCTCCGCAGGGTGTCTGGACTCTCCCTTAGAGATCATTCGAGAGGGACTCAGAGTTCCGGACACGTCCCACTGGAAGGAGGCCCAGAGGAAGACCCAGGACACGCTGGAGGGACTATGTTTCTCGGCTGGCCTGGGAACGCCTCGGGATTCCCCCGGAAGAGCTGGCCCAAGTGGCTGGGGAGAGGGAAGTCTGGGCCTCTCTACTTAGGCTGCTACCCCCGCGACCTGACCCCGGATAAGCGGAAGAAAATGGATGGATGGATGGACTTTTTAAATCCAGCAGATGTTGCCATGTGTCGACACGGTTTGGGAAATGTGCCACACATCCAACGGGGCCTCATCCTTAATAAGTAAAAGCTCAGAACAGTTTCTGTTATGTTCAAAGGCCACGGTGTTTTGGTGAATGTGGGTCTGACTGAAAATGAATTTTTGTCCAAATAGGAGGGAAAAATCAAACCCTGGGTAAAAACAAAGCATTTTACAGATTGTAGCATGTTTATATGAAAGCTCTAACTTAATGAGGTCAATGTTTTTTTTTTAATATATACTTTTTTCATATTCATACATACACATACATATACACATCCCCTCTCCATACACATATACATTCAAACCAGTGGTTAATTTGAGCTGGAACAAGATCCGGGAACTCTCTCATTTTGACCCGTTCTGTTCCGGCAACTCTGTTCGGATCTGGCAGCTCTGCCCCTAAAAGTTCAAAGTCATCGCACATTTTTATTTTGATTATTTATTAAAAATACAACGAGAGGAGACGCTGCCTTTAGCCCAGCGGACCCAGCCTGTGGATGTTCCAGCCGCAGCACGTGCGACGCACAGTTACACGCTCCTTCGAGGAGCAGGAGAGGGGGTGAGGACAGAGGGACAGATGGTCACACTACACACAGAGGTTCTGCACAAAGTCCTCCTCTCCAAATACTGTCCCTCCTCAGGGGGACCGGTAAATAAGTCCTTTTTGCAACTAAAGTCCTGTGGAATGGGGCGATGTATGGGGGGGTGGGCATATAGGGTGTGAATCAGGGCTTAATTTGTAAACTGATTGATGCCGGAACAGCTCTTTGTGTTTTTAATGTATTTTTTACAGGAAGCTTTTTTTATTGATTATGTCTGAAATGCAGCAGGAGTTCAGACACCTGCTGATGTGCACACGCTGGTAGAGAATGGAGGCGTTTCTGTGCGTAACGTGCACTGTCTGCAGGGAATTTATTTATTCTGTTGAATAAATGATTGATTCTGTTTCGGGGTCTGAGAGGAGGAGACGGGTTGCTCTTCAGTGTGCCTCATTGCTCAATTGCACCTTGCCAATGCATATTTATATATATATTTATTTATATATTATGCATTTTTATTTTGTATTATTTTATGTATGCTCTACGTGCGTCTTTTAATTGCCCCCCTGTGGATAAATAAAGTTTTCTGAATTGAACGTGTTTGTGTTAACAGCGTACCTTTTTTCCTATTCCTCTGGTTGGAGACGGCGCAGGTGACACAGGAACAAAGTCGATCCTCTTGGGAGAAGAAGACGCCGACTTCTCCAAATCATTGTCGCTCTGTGAAGAGCATCAAACATATTTAAAGCCGCAGCACCTCAGAACAGATCAGAGTAGTACCAGAACAAGTTCTGGCATTAAAACGTGTACAGGGACTGTGGGAGAATTATACTACCGACTCAGTCTGACCTTGAAGGACTGGTGGCCCTGTTAACTCCCAAACGTTTGGATGTTAGTCTAGCATGCTTCCCCTTGACCTCTCTATGATCAAGAGAGGCCACAAAAGGCCAAAACATGCACGTCCAAAATGAGCAGGACTGACTTACAGGAATACCTGGTACTTAAAAACACAACTAAAACAACGACTGGGGTTTGGACAAAGAGTAGAAAGAAGTTATTTTCACCAGACTGAGGCTTTCCTCCCAGGAATGGCTCATCTGCATGGCAGCTTGAACTCCCCTGTGTGCAGAAACACACGAACACAATGAGTTTCTGTCTTTCACCTGGGACACGATGTCTTCATCCACAGGCCGAATGGACTAGCTTACCGCTCGTGAGCCGTTTCTCTGTTCATCACATCTACTCCTTCTTCCTGAAAGGAAATAAACATCAAGTCTTATCTGCCGTTAGGAATTCAAACCAGCTTTACTGAATACATTTCAAACAATACAATTCTCTCTTTAGGAGCCCGTTACCCCCAGCTCATATCCTCTGACGTCCCCAACACTGGTCCTTGTGGTCCAGTGTCCTGCATGTTTTAGCTGTTCTCATGTCTCATCACACCCGGTTCAAAGAACTGAAATATCTTCCAGTGTCATCTAGTTTAGCAGAAACTTGTCAACGTCTCATTCAGGAGGGCTGAGGGGGAGAAGCATCTGAGACATGCAGGACCACGAGGACCAAGGTCAAGGAACTCTGTAGCTACGTGAAATCCAAAGTCTTATTCTTGCACCGTAATTCCTCACACTCGGAATAACAATGTTCCAACATGCTCGTCTTTCCTTACTTGTTTTATCTGATGAAGTCTGGTGCTGGGGATGCGGATTGGTGAAGACGGGACCTGAACACGAGGCCGATTAGGGGACAGGAAACAGGTCAGCATTGTGTGATTTAAGCATAAAGCACATGGATGTGTTTTAAGGGCACCGGTGTACCATGTTAGGCCTGTTGACAACTGTGGTGCTGTTCCTGCGACAGCGGAGGACCTCTCTCTGGAACACCTGAGAGTTATCGCTGTAATGACAAATTCAGGTTAGAGGACACCGCTCTCTCGTGATACTTTATGTGCATACAAATGTTCATGTTGTGTGTTGCAGAGAATGAAGAACCTCAAGACATTGATCATGGGAGCACTGTTCGATCTCCTCAGGTGTCCATCGGGCTGAATTAAGGAAGAGGCCACCTCCAGATCCAGGTCCATCTTCTCTTGAGGCATCACTCCAGACTTGTTCATGCTCGTCCACTAAAACAAAGTGTTGTTCCTGAACTTCAAATGGCCGCCCAGCTCAGTAATGCTACATCACTGACCTCCACACCGCTCAGCTTTTACATGATTGTAAACTAAAGGCGTCAGGCGGCCAGCCTGACACGAGTGGGACAACCACTGTAAACAAGACGCGCAGGCCTACAGGCCCTCAAGCCAAGCAGGAGCCGCTGTCAACCAGATAATCCACGTTTTTAATCTACACTAATGTACAGCTTAAACTACCCGTTGACTAGTCACCAACTTTCCTGGTGGATGTTAGCAGGCCGTGGCTACATCCCGCACAATGACGGCCCGGTAGCAGCTAGCTGCAGGTTAGCCTCTAAATGAGTCGGCCTGGATCAAACCAACCAGTTAGATGCCTTAAACACACTCCACTTATAAGAAACTAGGTCTAATCGGTGTTAAAGCAACGACGTTTCTGTGTAAAAAAAGATTGTTATACCTTATAGCTAGTGTATCAGCAGCCACTTAGCCGGACACGCTAACAAGCTAAGTTAGCATCAAAGCTAATAGCAACAATGCCATTTCCAGAGAGGCCAGGTGACCACTTCACACACGGGTTATCCATCAGCCTGATCAGCATTCTGGCTCACGAAGTAGCTAAACTCCGAGTACCAAGAGTACTGCCCTCAGACAGTGTCGTTTCATATTTCGTTTATGCTAAATGTCTGCGGTCCTGAAGGATCAGAGCTAGCTGTTAGCAGCAAACCACGCCCCTTTCAACGTTAGCTCGGTCCGACCAATGAAACGGCTCCGTTAGCCGGTGTGACCGTGAACGCACCATGACCAAAACTGTCATTTAATCACCAAATAACTAATTTACTTTAGTTTTCACATTACTTAACAGGTTACTAAAACACTACAAACCACAAGTAAAAATGCACATTTACAGCTCTTGAGCACAATTTATAGACATCTCTCAAAAGCTCTAATTCACTATTTAAACTGGCAGCTTAAGAGTAACATTCACTGAAAGAGTGTTTTGAGTTTAATCCTGGGAGCATCAGGTTGATGGTTCAGCCATTTTGAAGTGGTCTGTGGAAAGGCTTTGACCAAATCTCTTACCTGTTGCAAACAGCGCTTTGAATGACCTGTTTGAAGCTCATCAACCCTGTTTGAGCATGCATCAGGAGACTGTTTGAAGCTCGTTCTGTCCAGGTCTATGAGCTCACAGCTAGTCCGAGCCAGTACCCAAGTCCTGTCTTAAAACTCGAATCTTAAACAAACCCGGTTTAGTTTATAACAGACACTTTTTATAACACCACCACTTTTTTCATTGCTGTTATTCATATAAAATAGGGTGTTGCAAGTGCAAATGACAGCAGCAGCAGCTGTAGCGCAGCAATATCATGTTGCTGTCAACTCATTTCAGTTTATTTATTTAGCACCAAGTTACAAGTCGCCTCAGGGCACAACATTCAAATACATTAAATAAAAGTTCTCCATCGAAGGAAGCCAGCAGACAAGTTGAATCATCACTTTGTCACAGTCTCCCATCCTGAGCAAGCACAGTGGCAACAGTGGAAAGGAAAACTCCCTTTAACAGGAAGAACCCTCCAGCAGAACCAGCTCAGGACGAGCGGCCATCTGCTTCCACCGGCTGGGTTAACGTAAAACTAACAGCGTTGTAAAGAAGTGTTTACAAGAACGGTTGTTTCAAGATGGCAGCAGTCCAGCTCAGTCCTGGCCCAGCTCAAGACATGAGCTCATCAACCCAGTCAGAAACTGTCTCCAAGCTAAGGTTGCTCAAGGAGTTTGTAACCCTTCCACAGAACTCCATCTCAAATTTGATCCTTGCTGACTGTAATTCTGCGCAGGTTTAACGTCCACAACAGTCTACAGTAGGAAGAAACGAGCCAACAACCCACTGAACGAAGTCCATTTCAGAGCTGGAGAAACTAAGCAGATTATATTGGAGGGTTAAGAGCATTTCTCTGAAGGATGCTACTTACTGACATCTTTGTTCAGGATCATGTTTTTTAATAAACTTTATGTTTTTCACAAGCATTTGTAAAAGAATACTTTGAGAGCAGTTTGCGTTAACTAAATCTAATGCATTTTTCTTCTTCAGTAAAGTGCTCAAAGCGTAGCGCACAGAATTACTCAAATCTTCAGGACTGACAGGAATACATGGAGCGGCTGGATTAATTGCAGCCGATTATAAAATAATAATAATAAAATTCATAATCAGGGTTTAGGAATGATTCTTTCTACTTGTGTTCAGGTTTACACCACCTGTTGTGCACCGTAGTCCAGTTCTGCTGTTGTCTTACCGCTCTGTCGTCGGTCTCTTTCTGCTTGAACAGTCTGAGCACCTGCTCGTCTATTTCTTGACCTTTCACCTTCTCACATCAGAGGGAACAAAATGTGTAATTCCCTTCTACCCACTTCCTGTTTTTGTTCCAAATCCACATCCACGATGTGTTCTGTTCGACTCGTCTGGATTCAGTCGGTTTATTCCATCCAGCGTGCAAGCCGGCAAAATAAATAACTAAAGAGATAAAAATGTACTGAAGATTTCAAGTAAAAACCTTCAGGACTGGAGCTGTTGCAACATGTTGCTGGAATTATGAATGAACCATTTGGTGCATTTCACCATCGCCAGAATGTTTTATGTATTCAGCAAAACAAAATATATTAGTTTGATAAAAAGGGACTCTTGTTTCAGCTTTATTTATTTGTATTATTTGTTATTAATTTGTAAAAAATAAAAATCTGTATGCCTCTTTTATGATTGTCTATTGTTGTCATCACTCTTTGTTAAATAAATCAGGTCTCTCTTGTAAATGAGTCCTCGAGGCTCAATGAGACTAACCTGTCTAAATAAAGGTTGAATGAATTTGGAAGCAGCTCAAACCCAGAGAACAATTTGTGGAGATAAATCTGAAAGCTAATCCAACATCTGCTGCTTGACCTTTTAGGAAAAAAAAAAGAACTGAAATATTTCAAAAAGCAGTTTACCTAAAATTTTGACTGAAACTACGTCCGGATTTCTCCCATTTGCTGTTAAACATGTTGAACAACTTGCAGAAGTGGATTCTAGTCACAGGAGAGGTGAGAACATTTAATATATGGTCCTGCAAAGTTCAGGATCGCAACAAATATACAGGTGCTGGTCATAAAATTAGAATATCATGAAAAAGTTGATTTATTTCAGTAATTCCATTCAAAAAGTGAAACTTGTAAATTATATTCATTCATTACACACAGACTGATATATTTTATATTTCTTTTAATGTTGATGATTATAACTGACAACTAATGAAAACCCCAAATTCAGTATCTCAGAAAATTAGAATATTGTGAAAAGCTTCAACATTGAAGACACCTGGTGCCACACTCTAATCTGCTAATTAACTCAAAACACCTGCAAAGGCCTTTAAATGGTCTCAGTCTAGTTCTGTAGCTACACAATCAAGGGGAAGACTGCTGACTTGACAGTTGTCCAGAAAAGAGGGATGATCACAACTGAACCAGTGAAGCGAGTGGATCCAGGCTCACGCTTCGTGTTTGTGTTTCGAATCGTTGTGCAGTAGTCGCGGTGGGAGCGACTCGGGGTCGATCCTGGAAGTGGGTGAGAACGTTTTGACGTGGCTGATTTTTCATTGAAGAAAGAGTGTTTGAAGAAAAGAAACAAGCGGTTTGGCATAAACTGGTTTGTGACTGGGCCAGAATGGCAGCTCAAGTTGAGGAAGATGATGAGGATATGGATTTAAATGATTGGAGTCAAGTTGTTAGTGGAAGAAGAGGAAGAATAGGGCGAGAAAATGATTGTTTGGTAGGGACACAGGTTAGTAAAAGGACTTTGGAAGAGAATAGTTCAGATGAAGGGACACCTGTGGTCCGCAAAAAGATTGTTAAAGAGGAAATTAAAATCATTCTGAAATTTAAAGAAGAAGACAATAACATACAGCTGGGTCCAATTGCATTATCAAAAGAACTCAAAAAGAAGATTGGAGATATTTCTTTTGCAAAAACACTTAGAGATGGGAGTATACTGGTCATTTGTAAAACTGAAGAACAGAAAAATAAAGCACTGAATATTGAAAGTATTTGTAGAAAAAATGTGAGAGAGAAAAGGATTTTAGGAGAGAAGAAAGTAACGAGGGGCGTGATAACAGGAATACCAGTAAATGAAGATCTAGAAAAGCTTAAAAAGAGCATTCAGGGTGCAGAAGTGAATCACATTAAAAGATTGCTGAGAACAATAAATGGAGAAAGAACTGAAAGCCTGTCGATAATGATTGAATTTCAAAATAATGTACTTCCAGAGAAGGTTAAGATCGGGTTCATGAGCTTTCCAGTTAGGCCTTATGTTCCTCCCCCACTCAGGTGTTATAAGTGTCAAAGATATGGACACATTGCAGCTGTGTGTAAGGGACGGCAAAGGTGTCCAAAATGTGGTGGTGATCACAGATATGAGGAGTGTGGTGACAATGCCCAAGATAAATGTTGTAACTGTGGGGGACAGCATAGAGTGACTTTTGGAGGATGTGAAATTAGGAAAAAGGCCATTAAAGTGGAGCAAATTAAAACAGTAAATAATATCAGCTATGCTGAAGCGGTGAAAAAAGTTCAAGAACAAATTGGAAGGAGAGAGATGAGTGTACAACAAAACCCAGCATCCCAGTTACCAAAAGAGAGAACTGAACCTACAGTTACAGTGGAGAGGATCATGTTGTTCATTGCATATGTGATTAACTGTGCAGACCAGGTCAAGTACAAAACAGAGAAAATTAAAATAATAGTTAAAGGAGCAGAGACATTTTTTGGTATAAAAAACATTTCATGGGAGCATATTAACAAAGAACTGGGGGGAATCGGGAAGTCAGGGACATCAGGAGAGGGGGCACTCTGATTATTCTACAGTGGAACGCTCGAAGTTTAATCGCAAATGGACAAGAATTTAAAGGCTTTATTAAAAATCTTAACAACAAACCAGACATAATATGTATTCAGGAAACTTGGCTCAAAGCAAATTTAGACTTTGTTATTAGAGGATATACTGGTGTACGCAGAGATAGAAGTGAGACCCAGGGAGGGGGATGTGTAACATTTGTAAAAACAGGAATGCACTTTAGATTATTAGCAAAAGGAACTCATTTAGAATATTTAGTTGTTGAAGTTTGGAACAGGAAGGAAAGCATCAAAGTAATAAATTTTTACAATCCTTGCAAAAGACTTTCACATGAATCAATGGAAGAACTCAATAGTTATTTAAATGGAAACATCTTTTGGTGCGGTGATTTTAATGCACACAACTCATTGTGGGGCACTAAGAATGATAGTAATGGAACAATTATTGAAGAATTAATGGAAAATAAAAATCTTGTCTGTTTAAACGATGGTAAGGGTACAAGAGTTGATATGAGAACAGGTATGGAATCAGCAATTGACCTAACAATAATATCAAATTCAATAGCAGGAATAAGTACATGGAAGATAGTTAAAGATACAACAATAGGAAGCGACCACTATCCCATAATAACAGAAATAAAATTGGATATTGAAAAATATAAGACAGGTGGTTTGCAGAAATGGTGTTTTGGTAGTGCTGATT